TAAATGTGCTAAATAAAAATAGGAAGAGTTGATAACAAACAGAGCTTAACAATACATATTTAAATAATTTCTGAGTTAAACAGATGAAGCTCCGCATTATTGTAACAAATTCCAGTGACATTATTCTAGCTTTCTTGACAGCAGGGTTCTGACTCATGATTATATAACGTTGTAGAAAAAAAAATACAGATTGTATTTTAGCATACCAGTGTTATATTGTCATTTAGGCCTTGTTTGTTGGCTTCAATTCCTTTTCCAAACAGCAAACTGAATAACCAATTAGTAGCCTAATTTAGTAAATTAGAAAAGGGGGACCCGTGTGATCAGTTTGAATTAGTTGTCTTTGTACCTTGATTAAAATTAAATAAATAAATTAACAAATGTATTTTTTATTTGTTGTAATGTGTTAACTTTTTAGCAAGAGATATGCACAAAAATCATTTGGCAAAATAAATGAATACATACATAAATAAATGAAATAATAATAAAAAAAATTAAAAAGTAAATTTGCACTATAGTCTTTTGAACAGATATTACAAAGAAAATATTTGATAATTCTAGAATATGCATTTATTTGAAAAAGCAAATTTGTCTAAAAAAAGTATTTCTAAAATTACTGAAAACAATATGGGCAAATGAAAATGGTTAAACGTAACATTTGATCGCATATTATTTAAATTGTGAGTAACGTCTAACATTTTACATTTAGAAAACGAAATGTAAATGGTTTAAGTTTAAAATACTCAACAACTAACAAGCTTTGTAATATTCTTGATAATGTTTTTGCCATTTTTAGTTATTCTTAGTTATTCAAATAAAACAAAAAACATTATCCAATCATTCAACTGCAGTGATGTTTCATCAATCCAATGGTTTTAAAATGAGAATGAAACTCTCCTCAGAGATTTACACTGGATTTTCTATTATGAAAATGGTATGGAAATTATGCTGGACTTGCTCAAAGAAAGCACTATATCCATGTTTGCAGACACAATGAACACATTATCAAAGACAAGAAGCACTTCTTCAAATGTCTACAAATATTTGACATTTGTCATTAAAAAAGAAATCTTATAAAATAAGCTTAGCAAAATTCCTTACAAAAACTCTCATAAACAAATCCCTATACACTAATTCAAACTTTGTTATCAGAAGAACATGAAGTACTGCATGTACTGTACTCTCCAGCAGGTTCTTGTAAGTATAAGTAAATTGCACATGTAAGTTGTGCAAAATGGCATTTTGTGACAAAGCGTAAAAGTATGTACACACCGCACACATGACAGTAAGCACAAGGCACTATAAAACATATGACAGCTCAGTATGCATACACAGGACACTGTGGGAATATGACAATATGAACAAAACAGAATGTGATACGAAGGCTAGTTATCACATGGGATAGTCACAAGAGCAATATCTCAGCAACCATGAGATTTAAGGTCAAATTACACAAAAAAAGTTTTTTTTTTTTTTTTTAGAAGGGGATTGATTTTATTTGAACATCTAGGGGTGTCCAAACTTTGGGAGGGTCACTGTCCTGCAGAGTTTAGCTCCAACTTGCCTCGGCACACCTTTCTAGTATGCCTAATATAAGAGCTTGATTAGCTGGTTCAGGTGTGTTTAATTGGGGTTGGAGCTAAATTCTGCAGGACAGTGGCCCTCCAGGAGCAGGACTGGACTAGTTCAAAACCCTCTATATTCTCCTAAATTCTATTCTGCAATTTAAAATTCCAGTATCATCATGTTTTTGCTGCATCTATAATAAACCTTATTTTGCAACATGGTAGTAAGCTATTTCCTGTGAATGTGCGAGACTATTGATTCATTAGCTGATAAAGGTAAATAACTAGAAGAATAAAAATGAGGCCTTCAGTAAATGGTTAAACGATTTGCACAACAAACAAGTGTGTTTATGATCATGATAATAAATGAATCAATCAATAAATAAAAATATTATTATAACAAATGCCAGTTTGTAATGTCAAGCAGCATAACAAACTGTTTTTGCACAGGTAAAATAACTGGAAGTGAACGACACCGGAAGCCGCCCGCACAGTATAAATAAAAATGGCCACGCCCACTCTTACATTACAAAATAAGGTGGACTGAGTAAACAAGTGAGCACCATAAAACCAGACTAGCATCAACAGTCAAAGATATAATGAAAACTATTTTTTTCCTCCTTACTAAGATAGTACGATCATGTGCCACCTAACCATGTGACACTTTATTCTAGGCAATAGTTTGCAAGATAGATGTCACACTTTAGTAGCCTACTGTAAGTTTCAATCAATTTCTGTACAGGTACGTACCTTAACATCATGACTATTTCATGACAAAAACTATTTCCACCATTAAGCAGAAAAAGAAAAATCACTGAACACGCCTTTTATAGGTTCATAATTAGAAATTTGAAAACACTTAACAAATTGCCTCAATAAAGATGTGCCAATTTGCACCAACCTGATAATCAAAATGACTCGTCCTAAAAACACAGTTCAACTTTTTAGTTAAAATCTGTTTCCAATCTACATTCACGTGCTTTATCGCTGTGTTAAAGGGGTCATATGATGCGATTTCAATTTTTCCTTTCTCTTTGAAGTGTTACAAGCTCTTGGTGCAAATATACTGTCTGTTTGCTCATGGTACTTATAAACCATCATCAAAATATTAGATATTTCCAACATTTTCATTCTGTTTCATTTAGAACAGGACATATGTTTTAAGAATTAATATTCAAAGAATTACATAATAAGCCAATATAATGGACAGTAAGAGCATATATAGGGAACGAGCTGTCCTATATACCAGGCACTGCTGCAGCTCAAGGCAATGGTAGGATCAGATACTGGTTTCTCACACATCCAATGCATCGTAGAAGATCTCTGAAACTCAACCCCACTGTCAGAAAAGATCAACAGTAGGATCATGCATCCCATTTCGGCCTTGCCTTCCACCGGTATACCATGCAGTTCATCAGCTGACAGATTCATCAATTGCTGCACCTGCGCATACTGTGGTCTCTCATCATGCACGTCGAGCGCGCGCTTCTGTCTCTACCGCTAACCTGCTAAACGCACAAGGCATCTGAAAGCACCTGGCAGACAGCTCACATTTCACTCGCCCTTTTCTTACAAACATGGAGCTGAAACTGGCAGATCACGCCTTACCCTGCGTGCCCAACCCTCTCCATCGCTGAGTTCGCATCGTTCAGCACCAGCAACATGCAGCATTCAACGGCAACAGCGCGCCGACTCTGAGCAAATGGATGGAGAAAAGAGAGCATGCGAGGAGCGAACATTTACAAACCTCCGCGATGTGAGAGAGCAAGGTGGCGGCTCTGTGGTCCTGACTGCTTTGAATTCCGCGTCTGATGGGTGCTGCTCCGTATCGAATCGCCCCCTCCCTCCCTCTCTTGTCAGATTCTCCCTCGCCCGCCCCTTTTCCACCCTCTGCCATCAAGAACCGTTCCTACAGCGTTACGAGGAGGTTTGAAACCCCCCAAAGGAGGTCCAAACAAAATGCGCGGACTATTGTGTTTAAACAAAAGCATATATACGCTTTCCAAATGTTTCCGTAAACACCAAAGTTCGATTTAGAAGTTAGTCAGCGCGCGTCTCGGAGGACGTAGTCATAGCAACAGAACGCCGCTGTACTGTCATTGTTTTAAAGGGGTCATATGATGTTTTTCCTTTCTTTCCTTTCTCTTTGGAGTGTTACAAGCTCTTGGTGCATAAAGAAGATCTGTAAAGTTGCAGTCTCAAAT